TGCAAAATGCTAAGTGTATGGTTGAGGACGATCAATAGATGTTTGAGGTAGATTTGGTTGGAGAAAATAACTGATGTAAAATTAAAATGGCTTCTCTGTATGGAACTTATCAAAACTTGTTTTTTTAAACAGTCAATGTGTATGGTTGAGGACAATTAATATATGCTACTTTGTTCCTTTGTTTTTCATATTGAAATTCTTCTATGCTTTTTTGGTCAAGAGTAATTATGGTATTACTGTTAGTTAATTATGTAGAAACCCTTGAATATTTTGTGTTTTTCATAGCAAACAGCTGTCTCTTGTATTTACTTTGAAGAGCTCCTTTGGTCATTGACTTTGTCAGTAGAGGAATTGGTAATTCTTTTATTTTTTTTGGGTGACTGCATTTCTCAATATTAACTGTTCAACAAACAAATTATATGTATGCTTATGTTATCTGCTTTGTGAGTCTCATTGAATTAATTTGCTATAACCAATTCTGGGCAGGGGTAGTACCACCAAATATGTATGGTTACATAATTCTGGGCAGGTGTTGATGCGTGATTACATAATTATATTTTGGTGGTACTACCCAAATATATTTTGGAAACCCGTATTACATTCATCCATTTCAATACCGGAACAACAGGGCAAGTACTCAAGAGATAAGAGTTCTGATCTTCAACAGTTTTTACAAAAGCAGCTAATCATATAATTAACAAAAACATTAACACAAAAACAGTACCAAGTGAAAAATATCATCCAATACCCATGCAACCCTCCTGCATGACCCTAACCATAGGTATTGGTTTCCACTGGTTACAAAATAAAAATTTTGCAGATGCTTTCTTAGCATGGCCCGTAGGTAGACAACCCCATATACCTTCTCGGGGTAATTGAAATGGATATATATGATGCATTTTCTGAAATATCTGATTTCACACATGCAACATTAACTCTACTCTTATACCATTGACACATTATCCCTCCCACCCCGTTATTTGCAGGAGCTGTAAACACTTCATCATACATGATTTGATCATTTCCAACGCCAATGATTCGGTCCTCAGCCACAGCGGTGTTGAAGATTATCATAACATCCGGTAGAGTTCGACGGTGGAGGAAGTCAACTGCTTCCCAAAAATGTGATCTTAGTGATCCTCTTGCATTCCACAAAACAACAGAATGATCAAACAGCTCACTGTGCAGACCATCTTCATCCTCCTGGCCTCCATACATACTAGATGTAATAGGCTCAAACTGAAAATGGTACTTCACTCTCCTTCCATCGACCTGTTGCACCCATGAGCAATTGATGACTTCCATGAAGATGTTACTTGGAAATATTAACTTTTTAACATAAGTCTGATGGGCATAGACATCCAGAACCCTTGTTCTCGTTTTGAACTTATCGGACACCATAGATGAGAAGCTGATCATATCTCTCCAGTAGGGATCTTGTGTGCCAGCGGTTTTCATCAACTTTTCAAGTTGTCGGACTTGATCCAGCATCACCATTGCCTCATCATCAAGCCTCCTCCACAAAGAAAACAGAGAATTCCCATCTGGAGCCAATGAGGGAATGGCCACGAAGACAGATCTCACACCCCATACTCCGTTTTCCAATTTACATAGTGGTGGATACTCTGTAAGGGCTTCGAACAAAGCCTTTGCCTTCCCATTAGTTGCCAAGAAAGCTGTGTTATCGTTTGACGGGAGGAATCCCGCCATAATAAGCCCTTCAACCTGCACACGTAAAACCGAAGGCAATGGAAATGTCAGTTATCAGAAAACAAAAAAATAAAATAAAATAAAATGAAATTGGTCATAATAAAAGCAAAGAGAAAGCTAAGTCGAAAATGGTTGAAGGGTTAAATTTTGCAGCTCCGAAGTGAAATTAAAAAGCAAGTCTTAATGAACATTTATTAAGTTATTTCGCAACATCACCGAATGAACCAATTTTCCCCATACTCTTAAACTTACTTGTAACCAAAATTGCAAGAACAAATCTTTCATGAGTTGGGTTTGAGACACCGTTGATGGGGCTGCTCTCCATTCCACGATGAACCTCCGGCGTGTCTTCTCCAAGAAAAGTATCTCAACTGAGATGTTCTCACGCTCAATTGGAGCCATGACACCCATAAGTGATATTAAGGGGCCTGCCATTGACTTAAGTTCAGATTGTTTGATCGTGGTATGGATAATGTGATGCTCTGTTTTGAGGGGAGTTAAACAGAGTTGGCTGAGAAATGAGATGCTTTGTTTTAAACTGGAAGATAATATTGAGATGTTCCGGTGAATGTATATTGCATTTGCCATGCTTTATATAGGAAATCATGCATCCATTAATTCTATCTAATTCTCACCTAAAAATTGTCCTGCATTTACTACCTATTGTGCATTACATGGTCGTGTTCCTGAAGTATGTTACTCCATTTGAAGTTTGGGTCTTTTAGCTTATGTTTATTAATATTTTATTTTAGCTTTCCGTCATCATTTCTTAATTTTTTATTGTTGTCTGTTGCTTTCCAAATAAATGGCATATAAAGTGTATAATTTAGGAAATCAAATTACTTACTTATTTTTTTTAAATTGAGTAATTATAGTCTTTAATTAGTATAATTATTAATTAAATATAATTCATAGTTACAATTATTATTATTTTTATTAATTTAAAAATTAAAAGCACTTAACTAAATTATATATGCAAAAACTCTTTCTAAACATATTAATGCTATAGTGACTTGAAGCACATTAATGGTAATAATAACCACAAATCTCAAACTTTTCTTATTGGGTTTGTAGAATGACTAATGGCCCAAATAACTTGTTTTTAATGGATATTTTTTAATTGTTCCCTTAAAATAACTTGTTTTTAATAAATTTATATGAAAAAATATAAACAATCATAAATTAATTTTAATGTTAAGGGTATATAAAATAAGTTAATTAGATAGTTAATAAATTCAAAATTTCTCTTAATTTTTTCAAGATTGGTGCTTTTGCTTCTTATGTTAACGATATATAATATCAATTCTATAATTAATTATTAAAATTACAGTAATCATAAATTATAATAATGAAATTATTCTTATACATTTGTTATGGTGAAAAAACTTTTCTTATTGGGTTTGTAGAATGACTAATGGCCCAAATAACTTGTTTTAATAGATATTTTTTAAAATTACAGTAATCATAAATTATAATA